GAATGCTGAATACATATGACACTGAGGCTGCTGGAGTGGACAATTTAAATTGTCTCAGAAACATGGAATGGAGGCTGCCTATGTGGTGAATGTTATGAAGAAGGCAGACTGAGGATAATACAGGTACTTTTCTTCCTAAATAAGGAGACACTCATTTCAGCACTATAAAGAGCATACGCCAAGTAATACTTTTAACAATTCCTTTGCAATCCTTCTATTCATTATCACTCTATACTATCTTCAGCAATCAACAGTCCACCAGTGAAAGGCTCTCCCATCTTTACTGTGGGATGTGGCAGCTATTCTACATCAGAATCTTCATATAAAACTTTAGTTTACTCTCAAATTGGGCACTTTTTAAATTAAATGTCATTACTGCTGCTAAGGAACTATAGGCAATTTCCTTTTTATTTTAATCCCACTATGTAGTGTGTAGATCACACACTTCTAAATAAAAGAAAGGCACTCAACCAAGTGCCCTTAAGATTCCTGTTTTGTATGCTCTTAACAGTGATCTCTTAACCTGCTCATATTTTACAAGTATTTTTCTATTAACCCTATCTACATACTATTAATTTTTTGTATACCTGATATGTATGGGTATTTCATTCCTTCTGGGGAGATTATTTGAAACATGCCAGGAGAAGACAAAAATATTTTACTTTTAAAAAGCTTGTGAAGATGAGTGGGCAGAGGGATGGCTGTCCTGTGAAAATGGAAATGTTACATTTCCGTCAGGCATTCTAACAGAGGACTCAATTCTATTAAGGGAAAGTGAATCCCAAAATGTTACAGGCTAAATAACGTGGGCCGATGAGGGTCATCCTCAGTTAAACAGCAGAACTAACTCAGTTTTGCTGGCATTCTTAAGTTTGGGTGGGGTGACAAAAGATATTTAAACCACTTGGCATATGTTACGCACAGATGTAACAAATGAGCTGAAGAGTTATAGTGAGTCCTTCTAAAGGACATTCCCATATTGTACTAAAGCACTGCTAACGGAGCCAGTCATAGCACACACGCCATTACAGTGTAAAGTGAATTCCTTGAGATCTAGAACTTATGTAGCTCCATATGTCTGCTAGACTTTACAACTTACAAGGACAATAGTTTTCAAACTAACACCCAAGGACACCAAAGACCTTCCTGGTAAATTCAGACTGAAACCTTTTTTGAGACAAACTATAGGAGATGCATGAGCTGGGAGGTCAGGCAGGTCTCTCAAAAGACCAACTAAATGGTCAACTGAATTACATAATGCACTATAGGTGACAGCTAGCACAAGAAGCAGCACTCTTCACGAAGCCTATATAAAAACAAACACCTGAGTCAGCCTTTCTTTCCAGATGAGGCCAATTTCAGAAACATACAGAGAGCTTTGAAATGAAAATAAAAATAGTTTTGTTACCTTTTCTGCAAGCCAGCCTAGGTGCCTAATCTCTCGACTTCCAGCGATCCCTGTTTTACCCAGCTGGTCTCTGACTTCTGCAACCACCCTGGGGATGAGATCATTGATACTGGAGTGGATAGCATTGAACCAGGCCTGGGTTGTGGCTGAATCCTTACTCCTTAGTACCACAGTGTGCTTGCCATCAGGTGAATGGACTTCAATAAGTCTAGAAAAATCAGGGGAAAAATATTATGTTCACTCCCAGAAACTTGGGTAACTTTAAGTGGATAACTTGCCCACTTTTAGTTAAGCAATAAGTTAAAAAAATACTATCAACAGCTAAACTTCACTTACCTTTACAACTGGTTGAATTAATACTATTTCAAATCTGGTTCACTTTTTATTGCTGTTACTTTGAATTACTGGTTAATGGTGACTTGCAAATTTAGGCCCTTCTGAAGTTACAAGTGTGGAGTAACTAAGGTAAATGAGTATTCATTTACTACTTAAAATTTACACTGTTGCTTTTCAAGTGCCAGGAATTTCCAATGGCTGTGGGTCATCTTTCCTAAAAAGCCTCAACAAGCACTACAGTTGTGACATAACACCCATCATGAAACCAGAATGAAGACTTGAGTGTTTACCCTTATTTTAAGGGTCTTCTATAGGTGTCTAACATGTATCAATGACCAACTCACAAAACAGTGAAACAACAATAAAGAAACCCCTATCCCCCAAGTGCAGGAGGGCTGGACCCGATGATCTGTAAGGCCCCTTCCAGCCCCTAAAAACTATGAAACTATGAAATCGTAACTTCCTCATGCTTCCACTGTAGGTTGGATTATATCATTAAGCATCCAGATTTTACACACGTCCATATTTTAAGGGGTGAAGAAATAATGAAATGCCCTGAACGTTCCCTTTATCCCCTGTTCCTGACAGCAGGAACGTGCCAGCTAACCACTATATCTAACTGTGGTCAGGGACCATCAAACTTCCCATTATGGTTGACCTGACTGATGTGATGATGAATGCTTTTCTTGAAATCCAGAGTTACCAAGCCATCCCATGGGCTACCACCTCACACTGTGGTTTCAAGGCACAGTGTAACACAGTTTTCAGGACAAAATATTCTGTTCATACTGGTCCTATGAATAGTGCCAAAGCTCCTGCTAGCACTAACTGTTTTTGAAAAAATGCCAATAGCTAATCCAGTCCTGATTAGGATGTATAGGTCCTTACATGCTGTTTACCGTGTTTCTCTCTATGAGCACACATGTATAAATCACTTTAAATCTCTCCTAGCAGACTCTAAAAAAGTTAGAGTGTGGTTCAGCTCTAAAAAGTGACTACAGAAGCAGCTTTTCTCTCTCAGTGACCTCACATGACATTTGCTCTTTATAATAATGCAAGTACAAAGATAACTCCTCCTGAATTCTTCCCTGCAGGTCGAGCCTGGGAGTAGAGTCAAGTTATATGCATCCTGGCTGGAATGTGATTTTAAAGACAACATTCTAAAGCTATGGACTTAAAAAACTGATTTTGACCATTTTACTCACAAAAATGCTGAGCTCCCAACAGCTCATGTTGAGAAACTAGGAACTATTGGGTACTCGGCAACCTGGAAACTCAAGATGCTGATATAGATCATTTAAATACTGATTTAGGGGTGTACATTTGGCCTCCTAGTATTGAAACTCTTGGCCCCTCTGCTTTAGAACAGATTTTAGTAACATAACTTCCCTTGGCTCTGTAGGGACAGATTTTAATAATAATAATGATGATTATTAAAATAACACCATCTACCTCTCCTAAAGCCCTGTTCATCAGCAAATCTCAAAGCATATTACAACAAGAGTTCAGTATCATTATTCTTATTTCACAAATGGGGAAAACTGATGCACGGAAAGGTGAAGCAACATGCCCATGGTTATCCAGCAAGCCAGCAGCAGAACTGGGAGTCAAAGCCAGTTCTACCCACCTCCCATTTTAAAAAGTCTTTAAAAAGGTGGGGAGGGGGTAGGGAATTTTTTTCCAGGCACAAGGACAGTATTGTGCCATTTGACAAGAAAAGTTAATGTTCAGTTTGATTTTTGAAACAATGGCCTTTGCAAAGCCTGTTTGTGAAGTGATTTATATAAAAAAAAAACCTCCCGCTAAACTTATTGTGTACTGTGCAGCAAAATAAGGCAAAGCCCAAGCACTGCAGTGAGAAAGAGCTTCTTTGCAGTTGCAATAGAAGTTACAGAGTCTGCGTTGTTTCTTTTCAAGCTAGTTTTGCAGCAATGTTTGGTTTAAAAGTAAATACACCAGGGCTGAAAGAGCTTCCAAATGGCAACTTGTATTCAAGCAGTTTTGAATTAGCACCCTGCTCAATATTAACCACTTAAACAAATAGGAATTTTAAATACACAAACATGTAATTGGTTACATTTATTCCCATCAGAACGTTTCTGGTGGCTGCAGCTATTTAAAGTGCGTGTCTAATAGTTACGTTCCTTTCCCTCCCATCAGCTTTATTAAGATGAAAATCCAATAGAATTTTAAATGGAATCCTCCAGTTTCCGTCAAAAGAAATCAGTTCAGATCTTAATATCCTGTCGTCAAAAACATTTAGAGGGTTTTTCCTGAAGGGTTTCTTTAACTGAATTCAAATTACTAAGCAATGTTTTGGTCTGGCATAACATAGTACCTTCTAATAATTTTTTTTTTTAAACAATCACATGAAAAGTTACTCTCTAAATATTATTGCTCAGTGCTTTTTGATGGGTTTACTTTTAGGAAGGGAGATTATGTGCCATTTTCTGTAAATTGCTCATCAGTCACCAAAGTCTAATGGTGAAGCACTAAGGGTGCTGACAGAGATGACATATGTCGCATGATCAGCCCCTTGAAAGCACTCTACAGCTTTGCCCTGACAGAAGTGCACTACTGCAGAGCACTTTAAATTAACCCTCATGTAAGGAGGTTCAGATGAAGGTGCTCCAAAGCAGAGCACCTTCATTAAGTTCAGTGTGTCCTTGCACACGATTGGGGCTGTCTGAAGAAAAGGAAGGGGGAGGGAGCTTGGGGCTGGGGTTTGCTCAGCCTGAGCTGGAGGCGAAGAGAGTGGGGAACGCATGGATTGGAGCCTCCAACTAGACTGCTCCATAATTAAGAATTCAGGCTCAGACCCTCAAATGTATTTATGCATCTCGCTCCCACTTAAGAGTGGCCCAAATTCCATTGCTGATTTCAATGCGAGTTGAGCATCTAAATGACTTTGAGGCTCTGGGTCTCCTACTTCTATGCTAAGGGTCTAATTATTCAACCTTGCAGTCAAGTTTCCAAACAGTGGTCATTATAGGAACTTCTCTCATGGAGCCTACTATAGGCTTCTACTATGCTCAGAGATCAAGCACCTTATAAGCAGGGTTTTCCTGTTTTCCATGTAAAAATGGGGAAAAATGCAGATTTTTTTCCCTTTAACAGAGAAAAACATAGATTTCTCATTTTAACAGAAGAACACGCAGATTTTCCATTTTTGCAAAGAGCTCTCTGCAGGCTTCCTCACCTGGCCCCACGCTGCCCTGCCATGCTCGGCCCTATCCATTGAGCCATGGAGGCACCAGGGGGAGGGCAGCAGGGCAGTGAGCCCCAAGCGCACAGCAGACAGTCTGCTATTGCTATAAAACACTGTGTTCAATTGATACCTACATATACATACATACATACATACATACATACACACACACACACACACACACACACACACACAAAAGTGGCATTTCACTTGAATCACAGATTTTGGGGGTTTTAATCAGAGAATTTGCATCTTTATCCAAGAATTTGCAATTTTTAAACAGAGAAAACCAGGATCCCACCTGTATAGGCTCGTGCCTACCCCACTCCATCCCTTTCCACATATGCTTGATACATTCACAACCCCTTTTGAGAAATCCTTGGTGTTGACAGCTACTTGTTGACTGATGGTATTTCCATATTTATTGAAAAGAAAAAAAATACTGATGACCTTAGTAAACTCTAACGCAAAAGTGCTTAAATATTTCCAGGCAGGCCAGCATTTGTAGGTCTGATTGACTCCTTGGCTGAACTAGCCACTGCTTGCTGAAAATGTTTATCTGCAGTTCGGTGATAAAGTTCCCTTAATTCCCCATTGAATAGAAATATTTAGGGCAATGCCACAGCTGTGTTTATCCTCACACTCCACCACACTTATGTAAATACTGCACATGGAACTATTTCTGATAAAGCCCATACCAACCCAAAGGAATTATACGTTAGCTCTAGATGACTGCCAAGATGTGCGGCGTCTCTCCAGCTTGGCAATGCATATGAATGATATCACATTTTCTCAGAGATCATTTGGCAAACCTTACAATAAAAGGGTAATTTTCTCTCTTTCTCAAAGAGTTCCACTAAGCCAGAGAATATTTCCCAGCATTCCTTTTCCAACTTATAAAACATGAGCTTGACAGAAAACCTGAAGCCTCTGAATGCTCTCACCTTGCAATAAAGGGACCAGAACTCACCACCCACCGAGATCCAGCACTTCTGTTTTGCTGGGGAGCATACATTTAAGACAAACATCCAACAGCCTCTTATTAATCCCATGATCAGTAAGACCTCTTTAAAAAGGAGAGTTTGCTATCCAAAAGCTGCCTTTTATCAAGTCACTTGAAATGGTTTCTCCTTTCCACAGTGACTCAGGACTGAATTGTGCACTGGTTTATACCCTGTGCTTTTTCCTAGGTCAGAATCTGCAATCGGTGACTCCAATTTGTGTGTGAAACACCTCAGCTGAAGTCAATTATGAATTGGAATCAAAAGAGATACTTGCAGTTTATGCCAGTGTAGCTGAGAACAGAATCACTCCTTTTTCCCTGTGCAGCTTATGAAGCCATGGGAATACTTTGGTACATTTTTCTCATGTTAAACCAACCAGAGTGTTTCAGCCCTCACTCCAGACTGTATCAGACCTGTTCCCAGGACCTTAGGCCATCAAGGTTTCTAGCTAAGTTAATGCAAGACAGACTGAGCAGGTGGGAAGAGGAAGGGGTTCATACCTTAAGCCTCTGTCCAATACCCCCATGGATCTAACACCAGCTCTAATAAAATCTGACATAATCACTAATATTTCAGGTTTGCAGGAAGTACTGTTTGAGTTCTGTCTGTTAAATACCGGCCCCAGTATCATTTAACTAGGGATAACGGCTGAAATTAAGA